GCAGCGCATGTACATGGAGTGATCATCTGGGTACATTGAGGGCTCTGGGAAAGACTGAGATCTACTTTGGCCCTGGAGTGGCCAGAAAGTGGGCCAGGAGGTGCTTGAGGACTGTGGGGGGCGGGGGGTGGTGGAGGGTGCTCTGCCTTCCCACACTTGGCTCTTGGATGGTTTCAGGGATAGGCTCTTTTCCTCTTACCTCTGGGGTCAGAGTGATGAGGCCTTGCCAAGGGCCACCTCCTGGGGGCTAGTGAGGCATTTTTTTCATAATAGAGTTTCAGTATACAATGATCCAGCACTAATCCAACCACCAGTGCCAACTTCCCTCCACCAGTGCCCCCAGGCTCCCTCTCACCCCCCACCTGCCTCCTTGACAGACATTTTTTGGGGGAGGGGATTTTGGGGTTACACCCGGCGACACACAGGGGTTACTCCTGGCTCTGCACTAAGGAATTACCCCTGTCGGTGCTCAGGGGACGATATGGGATGCTGGGAATTGAACCCGGGTTGGTGGTGTGCAAGGCAAACACCCTACCCACTGTGCTATCGCTCCAGACCCAACAGACATATTTTTAAGTTGGGCTATTGTAGCTTGGGTGTCAAGTATTCAGTGCTTGTTGGCTCTGTGGTTTAGATAAATAGATGTGCCACCGCTCTACAGTGCCCAAGTGGCCCCTGCTCTGGTTATCTCTCGCCTGCCTCTCCTTGATTATGGAAATAAGAAGGACAGGGGAGTGATGTGGAGCCAGTGCCCACTCCCCACTGCTTGCCCCCAGGCTGCTGTGCTGCTGCCATCCCCAGGCGGTGCCCTTGTGCCCTGAAGCCAGTCTTGGCAATTACATTTTGGCAGGTCCAGGAGCGAAGCGTGCCAGTCAGCATGGCAGCCTGCTGGCGGCCAGTCTGAGCAGGGGGCCTGGGTCCAGACTGGCTCAGCCACTCTGGGGAAGGAGCTGATTCAGCGGTGGGGTGGGGGATGGCTCTTAGCTTCCAGTCTCTACCTAGTCTGGGGGACACATTTGCCTTCTTCCTCCTTGGGGGACCCAGACCCACTCTCTAAGCTGAGAGGTCAGTTAGCGTCCAGTGGGAGACAGATGGGCTAAGATGAAGACATGGTGGGGGAGGGGGAGGGCATTGGATAGGACAGCAGGCAGGGCATCTGCCTTGCACGAGGACAACCAGGTTCCATCCCTGGCACCGCATACGGTTCCCCGAGCCCCTGAGTGCAGAGCCAGGAGTGGGTCCTGAGTACCACCAGATGAAGTTCCCCCCAAAACAAAGGTGAAGACATGGGTCTCTTTACACCCTAGCGCTGACCCTCACTGAGCAAGTGTTCCATGTTCCTGCTCCTGCTCCCCCTCCATGCCTACCTGGCACAGGTGACCATAGGAAATGTTGTGTATGTGGGTGTATGTATTTCCACCTGCCTCCACACGTACCAGGCAGAAGCGTGCTTGTGTGCGAGTGTGTGTGTCCCACTGTCTCTACCATGAGGCCACAGTGTGCTCGTGTCCCTGCCAGGCTGACCCCAGCAGACTGGCTTTGTGACTGTAGTGTGACTGTCCTCCCTGTTTCCTGCATAAGTGAGGACTTGTGTCCATGCATGTGTGCCTAGGTATGAGTGTGCCTATGTGTCAAAGGATGTGTTCTCTTGGGTGAGGTCTTGCACATATGCGCGTCTGTCTGTACCTGGCTGTGTGGTTGCCTCAGTATGTGGAGACATATGCATTTGTATGTGAACTGTGAGTGCGTGTGTATAGGTGTGTGAGCGTGTAAGCACATGTGAGTGTATTTGTGCTTGTGTGTATGTGTCTGTGTGCATGAGTATGTGTAAGTACATGTGAGTGGATACGTGTGTGTGAGTGTGTGTATGAGCATGAGTGTGTTTGAGTGCATTTGAGTGTGCCTATGTTTGAGTATGTGTGATTCTGTTTGAGTGTGTGCATGTGTGTGTAGGTGTGTGTTTGAGTGTGTGTATGTGTTTGTGTATGTGAGTGTGTATGAATGAGTGTGTGTGTGCGCGTGTGAGTGTGTGTGTTTGTGGGTGTGGGTGTGTGAATATGTGTACATGAGCCTCTCTGGTCGGGGTGAATAAGGACAGGCAGATTTGTTACTGCTGCCCCAGCTTGGGGAATCCTCCTGGGTCTGGAGTCTCAGGCTCCAAGACCGCATTCCAGGCTTCCTCGCCCATGGGACTGAGGCAGTGAGCAGCAAAGCACACTCAGACTCCAAGGGGACAAGCGTAGGGTGAAATCTCTGTCAGATGTTCATCCCAACCACAGGAAAGGGCTGGGAAACTGGAAGAGGGATGGGGCAACCCGAACCAGGCCGCCAGAGAGCAGATCAGATATGTAGGACTCAGAATGGACCTGACTCAGTGATGGGGTCAGGGGGACTGAGCCCCTTGCTCCCTTCCCTGCACCCAGACTGGTGTCAAGGGAGAGGGGCCATACCAGGAAAGCTCTTTGGCAGCTATTAGCATCAGAACTAGGTGCCTGGATGGCTCCATCCATCCCCCCCCCCCCCCCCCCCCCCCGGTGAGGACAGCGAAGATGGGGTGGGGGTGGAAGGAGAGAGGAGGAGATCATGGAGTCAGGCAGAGAGGAGTGTGGGGCCCACAGGAGGGGGCACCCAGGGGGGCCGGACCTCTGGCTCAGGCACAAGCAGAAGGCGCTTTGAACTGCCGGCCTAGTTCTTCATGGTGACTTGCCTACAAACCAGTATTCTCTGGTTTGGTTTTTAACTGCGGAATCCAAGTCTGAATTGGTCACGGAAACCATTGAACTCAGATCCATTTGCACCCAGCCGGGGGGCAGCTGAATGTGCCAGGGAGGTTACCAGCTCCAGACATCAGGCACCTGGTATTGCCGCTAGGCCACCCACACTGTGGTTCATTTGGGGAAACTAAGGCCCAGAGCCCCCGAGACATCTGGGGGGGCCGCCCAGTGTGGCGGGGAGGGGCTGTCCCCGCCCCCAGGAGCACACACCTCTCTGTGGGAGAACCCCTCCACAGCCCCTGCAGCCTCCTGGTGAGCCTCTGTAATTACAGGATTAGGAGGCTGCCTCTCCCCTGCGCCCCTCAAAGCCGCTGTGTGGAGGCCAGGCTCTGCGGCGCGGCCCGTCCCAGGTGTGTCTGCAGAAACCTGGCATCCTCGGGCGCTGGTGCGGACTGAAAGGCCCCATTGTGGCTTCAGTTGCCCTGTGAGCGGCTCTATTTCGGGGTAGGGTCCCACCCTGCTCCAGCTGGAGGAAGGAAAAGGTGTATTTCAGTATGTCCTGTGGGTGGATGCGGAGCCTGGACCAGACAGACACGGGGGCTGCAGCCCTGCCAGTGGGCTCTGAAGGGCTGGAGGGAAGGAAGCAGCTGCAGGAGGTGTGACGGGAGGGGCCTTGACCAGGTGGTTGTTTGGATTGAGGGGAGGATGGGTGTGAACCCACCGGCCTGCTGGGCTCTCATGTAGCCCCGGAGGCAGGGTTGGCAGACCCTGCCTCACTGGAATTTGGGCCTGCGGCCTGACTGTGCCACACCCAAGACCTGCCCACTGGCAGCTTCCTGATTCTTCCCCTGTGGGGGCCGCACCCCATGCCAAGGGGCCCAGAGGAAGGCTGGCCCTACCCTCCAGGGCCCCGCCAGTCTAGGTGTGGAGGGCTGAGACTGGTTAGACTAAGAGAACACACACACACACACACACACACACACACACACACGCATACTCACCATACACATGCACATACACATGCATACATACACACACACACACACACACACACACACACACTTGCATCACCCAGGAGGGTGCTCACTCCAGCCCCTGTTCCTTGACGCCCTTGACCCTTTTGCCTGGCATGACCTTGGGGGGGTCTTCCCTGTCCACCCTTATCCTGCTCATTCTTCAGTGCTCCTGCAGGGCCATATCCATCTCCCAGTCCTCCCCAGTTGGCCTTCCCTCTACCTGCTTTCCTGCCGGCCTTGTCGAGCACTTTGGTTGCTGAGGCTGTCGAGTGCCCCCTCACTGCAGCCTCCTGTCCCTCCCATTGTGGCACCAGCTAAGGGAGTGAGGCCTGGACCGGAAGTGGCCCTGTCTGTGAAGGATGCGTCACTGCCTTATAAGGGGCCATGGGGAGCTGGAGCTACAAGGGCGCCTGGTACACAGCGGGTGTTCAGGCAGTCCCCTCAGCTGCCTCTGCCTCTGCCCTGGGTGCTCACAGGCCCGGGGTGCCAGGGCCGGGCTGCCCTGGGCACAGCCCCGTGACTCATTCCACTCCAGCCATAAGCTCTTGAAAGCTCTGAGAAATGAAGCTTTTTTCTTTCTGTTGCTTCATTAAACTCTTCTTGAGTGAGTGGAATGAGGATTGTCTTAATCCTTTGGCAGGAGGCAGGGAGTTTGGGGAGCTGGGAGAGAAGGCCCGGAGTGGCCTGAAGTCACTGCAGACATCGGGGCAAGGAGGCAGGGGGCATGTGGGGTGACACCAGCTCCACCCTGCCCAGGGAAGAGGGTGGAGAACGCAGGTTCCTAAAGCCTCATGACCGGTTGGCTTTGCTCAGGGTCTGCAGGGCCCTGAGGGTGATACCCCCTGGCTCTGATCCAGCTTAGTTTCTTATCTCAGCCCGGCTCATCATTTGATGCATTCTGGGAACAGGATGACCGGTGAGGGGCTGTGGCTGGGTCCCTGGGCCAAGCAAGAAGTCTGGCACAGAGTAGGCACCTTATCAGCATACAGAGGCCTTGGAAGACAGAGGAGGGGTGCACAGGCTGCCCTCGCTTCCCTTCCTAAGTGGCCTGGGACTCTTGGCTGTCCTCCCTTGGTGCTCCGGAGTGACCTCAAGGTCTGTACCCAGGGGGGCCGCTCAGCAAGCAGTAATTGTCCCTGGACCCCGGGAGTGGGTTTTGCCCTACGGGGTGCAAGGCGTCCAGGGGCTGCTGAAGTGAGGCCTTTCTCCCCTGTCAGGGTCCGCCTCATGCTCCCTCTGCAGGCCTGACTCCAGCCCATGTTGTCCACAGGTGTTCCTGGTTCTCGGGGAGCTGCTCCTGTCCTGCAACTGGGCGGTGGTGGCTGACATCCTCCTGGTAGGTAGTAGGGTCTGGGGCTCCGGGCTGGGTGTGGGGAGCATCTTCAGAGACCATGACGTGGAGGACCGAAGTCACTAGAGAGTGACCTGGGCCAGGGCTTCTCAAACATGGAGCGTCGTTGACCATCAGCCCATTTTGCAAATGAAGATCAGCAAGGCCAGAGGCCCCTGGTCACAGGACTGGGGTCACGTCACGAGCCAAGACTCTGAGTCAAGACTCCAGGGCTCCCACTTTCTTTCCTGATCCTTTTCCTTGGCCTCAGCCCACTTGGCCTTGGCCTCTAGACCCTAGAGCTAGAACCGCAAGCCCAAGGGGGCGTCCCGGCTACCCCAGAGCCCAGGTGACAGTCTGCAGAGCAGGGCCCTATCAGATGCTCAGATAGTCTTATCTGTCTTGCTCTCACCCACCACTGGGCATCCCTACCTTCTAGGAGGGACATTGAGGACTGCTGGGACAGGACAGAGTTTGAGACTTAGAAGCACCCCAAGAATCCTCCTGCTGCTTTCCAGTGACCCCATCATGGGTGGGAGCCATCCTGAGGATAGTGGAGTGTGGGAAAGCCAGCTTTTAACTAGCTGAGTGTGACTTAGGCAAGTCCCAGTGTATCTCCTGCTGTGGGTGGCGAGTGGGGCAGATCCTTCCTGCTGATTGGGAGGATGACACGAAATTATCCTTGAGAAGCTCTTGCCCTGAGCACTGAGCAGAGTGCTGCCTGGGGTCTGGTCACTCCCGAGCTTGCTGCTTTCTCCTTCTCCATCTCCAGAGCAGCCCTGCAGCCTGGGTCTGACCTTGAAAGGGCCGTGGAGAAGTGTTACTTCACTGTTGTTCAGAGCCTGCTTGGATGCCACTGTCTGACCGTGGGGGCTCTCACTGGCTGCCTCCGGGGGCCAGGCTCAGGGGGCTGCCCTGTCTCTGACTCCAGGGTGGGGGACTGCGTGGAGTGGAGGGTCTTCTCTGCACCTCCTTTGAGTCTGGAGTCTTGGGCTCCAGCCCAGATGCAGCTGCAGACCTGCCGAGTGGCCGGAGCCCGGGTTTCCAGATCTATAACAGGGTCATCTTAACCTGCCTGGTGCTGTGTGGGGAGCTGGCAGGAAACGGGAAAGCACTGGCACTGCCCCGCACCCCCACATAGCTTGCTTTCTCTCAGGCGTTCAGACGGTTCTAAAGTCTGCCCCCCGCAGCTTCCTCCACCTGCTCCCACGACGACCTACCCCCCACGACCAGGCTCCCTTTTCCACATGACGGCCCACAGATATGTGAAGACTGTGCCTGTCCCCAGTGTCTGTGTTTGCAAGAATGATTGACCTGCTAGGGCCCTGTGCAGAGCTGTGTGTTGGGGGCAGGGATGGGGTGTCTCTGGGACTGATCAGCCCTGGTTGGTCCGTCCATCGGGCAGGCACTGTGAGGATGCTGAACATGGCCCAGCTCACCTGGCACTTCCTGTGGTGTTTCCCGAACATGGAGGCCTCCAGCTCCCGAAGCTGAGCCAGTCACCCAGGAAAACCTCTTATCCCACTTCTGCGAGCCCACCTCCCTGAGGCCCCTTGGCCAGGGACCGCCTTTTTGTCCTGGTAGCGGCAGCTGGGACAGTTCACGGAAGCCTGGTGCTTGGTCCCCCAGGAGCCATCTTCCTACTCAGAAGGCAGATCCCGGGAGAAATGCCCATGAGGGGCCGGTTGTGGGGCAACTGTGTGCCAGCTTGCAGCAGGGTGAGGAAGGCGTGGGAGGTGAAGAAGGGAACTTGGCACACAGACAACTGCCTGGAGAGAGGGGAGAGGGAAGAGGGCAGAAGGGAGAGAGGGACCAGGTGGAGGGGGGTGCAGAGGAGAGGAGGGAAAGGGGATGGTGGAGGGGAGTGAAGAGGAGAGTGAAGGAAGGAAAGGGGAGAAGAGAGGAGAGGAGGAGGGGAGATAAAGGGGCGGAGAGAAAAGGGGAAGAGAAGGGGGAGGGCACTGAAGGGGGAGGGGGGTGGGAGGGCATTGCAGGGGGAGGGGGGGGGAGGGCATTGCAGGGGGAGGGGGGGGGAGGGCATTGCAGGGCAAAGGCGGGGAGCGGGAGGGGGAGCAGGCACGGGAACATGGGAAGCAGAGTCTGCTTTCCCAGGGGATGGGCAGGTGGGAGCAGCCTCCATGGACAGGGAGGGGAGAAGGGGTAGAGAGAAGATCAACGGGGTGGCCTGGAGCTCAGAGGAAGCAGCCCCCAGCAGGCCAGGCAGGAAGTGTGTGGGGCATTGGAGCGGCAGGAAGTGCTTGAGGTTCCATCAGCTCCTGAGCAGGGCCCCAGGACAGGTCTCTGGACACTCCACCTGCTCCTATCCCCCTGCCCCCTCCCCCGCCCGCCCCAGCTGCTCTGTTCTCTGCTGGCTAAGCCACTGCCCAGGCGTGGGAAGAGCTGGGTCTGAGAAGAGCCGAGTTCCGAGGGCAGCGAGTCCCCGGATGGTGCGTGCCCCCAGCGAGTGGGACCCCACGGCTCCCACATCCACCCCACATCAGGGCTCTGGAAGGGCTCACTCATGGCAGGGGAGAATCCTGGGACTCATGGGCCAGTGCTCTTACACTTCTCTGAGAGCGATTTAGGTTTGGGGGCTTCTTGGCACTTTGTCCTCAGAGTTGGACCCAGTGGGGCTGTGTGGGGTCTAGGGGGTCTGCGTTTGTGAGGAGCGTCGCAGGCAATCCTGACACTGCACTTGGAGAACACGGGCCCCCGGTCTGTGACTCGGTGCAAAATTCTGCCTTGTCCCGCCCTTGCTCTCCTGGGGCGCTCTCTCTCTGTACCCCAGGAATTTCCTGCCTTGGATAGCTGGTGCTGTCACAGACGAGACACAGCTCAGCCCCCGAGCCCCACCTCTAGCAGAGCCCCCTGTACCTTGGGGGTTCTGCTGGGCCTGTGTCTCTGCAGGCCACAGTCCCACCCAAACCCACCTCGGGGGACTCCAGCTCTCCCCAAAAGTCCCCACACTAGAGACCCCACTCTGGGTGTCCAGAGCCAATTCATCCTCCACCTCCTGACCCCAGCAGTGGACATATGCTCCCAGGCCTCTGGGTTCTCCCTCTCCCAGACCTGTTCTTTGGGCTTCTGGAACCCAGCCACCCGATTCACGCCCACCTGCTCGGCACCTTCCCTCCTGCCCCTGACAGGTGGTTATGGCTCTCCTGTTCTCTCTTCTCACAGGGACCCTCTGCTCACTGTCTCTCCCCCCCGCCGCCCCAGGGTTCCTGGGGTGACCGGCCGAGAGGGGAGCCTGCACCTGACGGTTGCCACCCTGACTTTCTTGAAGCCCTGGGCTGGGCCGGCTTCTGCCGGGCTATAAAGGGAAGCGCTCTTCTAAGAAGGGAGAGGCAGAACAGTGGGGCTTTGTCTCAGAATAGCGTGAGCCTGGATGTAGGAAGCCAAAACTTCTGGCTCCTAAATTACCTGCTCTCAGTGCCCTGCCTTGTCCCCCGCCCCCACCCCATGCCACCCGGCCATCGGGTGGCTACGGGGTCTCAGAACAGGTTGGAGGAGACCTCGCTCTGCTGACATGGGCAGCAACGGCCAGGCTGGACTCAGCAGGTTGGGGTTCTTGCGGAGGAGGAATTATACCCGGTGGGCAATGGGCCAATCAGCCCCCAGGCCTGCCTGGACTCCTTTGGACATTTGGGGCCCAGCCTGTGGGAGGCCCTGCCTGGCTCCCCAGAACCGCTGTGAGTAATCACATAATTATGGGGTGAGCAGGAAGCACTTGAGGAAGGTGCAGTGCTGTGGTCAGTTCCTCCCCACCAGGGCGGAGGCCCCCTTCTCTGTCACCTGTACCCAGTGGCTCCGTGCCAGTGACCCTCGAACCCGACTAACCCCCAAGAGTGACTCCTGCGCCCCCCACCTCCAGCTCAGTCAAGGTCATCAGTCCCTGAGCCCCTCCATTCCCGGAAAGTCCTGCCCCTCTGCCTCTCTGCCAGGTCCTCCCGGCTCCCTCCTTCCCGCTGGCGGGGCCACAAGGAACTTGGCCTCTTTATATTTTCTTTTCTGAACGTTTGATCACAAACACATAAATATTGCTGGCAAGGCCCTCTTTTGCTCAGAGCAGCAGCACCGCTGGGTCCTGGCAGGGGAAGGGTGGGGCCCAATCCTAGCCCTGCTCCTTCCCTGCTCTGTGCCCCGCAGGGGCGACTTCCCCACCCTCTGCGTACTTCTCTCCTCTCCTGGCATTAGCGGACGATGTTCGTATGTCCCTCGGGGCTTGTCTTAGTAAATACATCAGAATTATTTGTTTATGGAAGACATATTAAATGTATGCAGGACATTTTATTTGTGACTTTACTTCCTCTTGGTTTGGGGGCCACACCTGGTAGTGCTGCTCCTGGCACAGTGCTGGGACATCCCCGGGTGCTCAGGGAACTAGGGAATGCTGGAGACAGAAACTGGGGTTCCCACATGTGAAGAAGCCGGTGCTCTGCCCTTTGGGGCATCTCCAAGCCTACAAGAAGCTTTTAAATACTAGTAAATATTATCACTGTTTTATTCTCGGAGGGACTCGGGATTTTATATCTCAGGGATAAGGCTGTGGGGTGGGAAGCCCCCTCAGCCTCTGTCTGAACCTCCTCCTTCTGTTTGAACCCCCCTCCTCTTTCTATTTGAACCCCCTCCTCCTTCTCCCCTTCCTTGCTGCTGGGCAAGGCCTTGGCATCTGACTCTGTCTCCCACATGATCCTCTCTGACTTCTTTAGTTGGCAGACTTCGAGCTGGTCTCCTCTGTGCCTGGTGCCTGGTCCATACCCCAGGAACCCCAAGAAAAAATAGATAGGAGCTTTGCTGTTCTGACCATGTTGGGGGTAAGGGAGTGGATAAAAAGGACCCGTCACCTGAACTCTGGGATGGCTTTATAGAGGAGGTGACCCAAAACTCAGTGCTAAAAGACTAGCAGAGTTGCATCAGCTGGACCAGAGTGGGCAAGGCTCTCTGGAAAGATGGCTCAGCTTGTTCCCATGGCCAGGAACACCGTGCCTCTTGGAACCAGAGGCACTGAATCAGCTGCCACGCTAAGCTCCCAGATGAAGAGTGACAATGAAGAACTTTTGGGTAGGTGCTACTGATAACGTTTGGGAATGAGGCTAAGGCACCGGAGGTGGAACACCTTGCCCAGAGTCCCAAGCTAGTGAGTGGAGAGTCTGGGCCGGAAGGCAGGCAATCTAACAACAGTATTTGTATTTCAAGTGGGCCCTGTTCAGGGGCCCCAGCAGCCACTCCCAGTGATATTTGATCCTATATTCAGTTTCTTCTCAGGCCTGCTGGCCAGTCCTAGTGAGGGCCCAAGGGGCTGCCAGGCCCAATGCAGCAGGCTGGGGATCCATTCAGGCCTCACACATGCAAGGCTGCACTCAGGACCTTTAAGCCATCCCCACGCCCCTAGTGTCCGAATTCTCCCTCTCTCTGAATTCAGAAAGAGTTTATTTAAGAGAAAGGAAAGGAAGGAAAAAGAAGGCAGAAATCTTTCCCCTTTTACATCTTTTTAACAAAGGGGTGGAGTGTGAGCGAGACTTTCTCACCGAGTTTAAAGCAGGCGGGCCAGTAAAACAGGGGTTAGGAGGTTGAGATAATTATCTTCTGGCATGTTCTCTTTTCTTATTAATGAATTAATTATTTTTTGGCTTGGGAACCACACCCATGTGTTCAGGGCTTAGTCCTGGCTCTGCACTCAGGGATCATTCCTGTGCCAGGGATTGAAAGCAGGCTGGCCACACGCAAGGCTAGCACCTTAAGAGCTGTACTGTCTCTCCCGGTCCCTATTACAGGTTTTGAAATGATAGAGGAACATTATATAATTTGTAGAATTTTTTGGTTTTGCTTTAGTTTGGGAGCCATACCCAGTAGTGCCCAAGACTTACTCCTGGTTCGGCACTCTGGGATCACTCCTGGTGGGACTCGGAGGATCATATGTGGTGCCAGGGATCAAACTCAGATTGATTGCAAGCAACAGCTGTCTCAGCTATCTCCAAAATCCTATTGTCCTTTTCTGTAAGGACTGTGTTTGATAGTAATGGCATAGGATGCCCAGGAGCCAGCAGTTGGGATGCAGTGGGATGAGGTGTGGATTGGAGAGAGGCAATGTCGAGCTTCAAACTCATAATCTAGTTTGAGTTTTTTTAATTCTAGTCTAGCTCAGAATCTTTTGTTTTTATTTGGGGGCTACACTGGGTGATGCTCAGGGGTCACTCCTGGCTCTGTGCTCAGGAACTCCTGGTGGTGCTTGGGGGATCAAACGGGGTGCTGGGGATTGAACTCGGGTCTGCTGTGTGCAAGGCAAACACCCTACCCACTGAGCTATCGCTTCAGCCGCTGCCCAGCATCTTTGAGCTGTCTCCAGGACCCTATATTTTCCCATGAATTTATGTTAGAGTTTTTGTTTTATCAATATTATTTTGTTGGTTATTATTGAAGAAATATGTTATTTCCATAATGACAGTTAACAGTATTGTTAGCTCTTATATACAATGTTATACAAGAGAGACGTAGCTTACAGTGATGTTAATATTATGTCTTAAATGTACAATGTCAACTGCACTCCACCCACCACCAAAATGCCACCACCAAATACTCCCCCAGCATCTCACGTTCCCTTCTCTTCTGCCCGTCTCTACCCACTTGGAAACCTCAGTTCTGTTGTCTGTTTTTAGCGAACACTGTCTATTCCTTTGCGTTACATTTTGTTTTTAATGAGGCAAGATTGTTTTTATTGAATGAAACCTTCTTAGAAAGATGTAAGGGAGAGAGAGAAAGAAAGAAAGAATGTTTAGGAGAGAACACAGGCTTCTCCAGAATGTAAGAAAGGAACAAAAAGACAGAGATAAGCAAGTAAGATATGTGTTCAAAGGCTTGGCAATCAAGCCTTCTTGGCATTGTTTCTGTATATTCCACATATCAGTACCATCCAATTGTAGAAAAATGGAAGACTTTATCTTTTCTTAGATCAGAATAGTATTTCATTGTGTACATATACAGTAGGTTAGTTAAAAACAGTTCTTTTTATTGAATCACAGTGAGATACCCAGTTGTTCATAATTGGGTTTCAGTGATGTTTCAACACCTGTCCCTTCACCATATACTGTAGATTCTTTTTTTTGGGGGGGGGGGGTGATGCCCTGGTGATACTCAGGGGATACTCCTGGTTTTGCATTCAGGAATCACTCCTGGCAGTGCTTAGGGGACCATATGGGATGCTGGGAATCGAACCTGGGTTGGCTGCTTGCAAGGCAAACACCCTACCTGCTGTGCTATCGCTCCAGCCCCTATATACTGTAGATTCTTTATCACTGCCAGTTGCTGGGCATTTGTGTGATTTCTAGATCTTGGCTATTGTCAATAGTGCTGCAATGAACAAAGGTGTGCCTATATCTTTTTGATTTGGTGTTTTGTTTTCTTGGGATAAATGCTAAGTAGTAAATCATGTGATTACATGGGACTTCTAAGTTTTTGAGAAGTTCTGTACTGTTTTCCACAGAGACTGAACAAAATAACATTCCCAGAAACAGTGAATGCGAGTTGCCTTTTCACTGCACCTCTGCACCTCCTTTAGCACCGGTTGTTTCTGGTGTTCATGTCTTTATATTTCTTGTTTTCTTCAGTGTCAGGAATCGAGCCCACGGCCTCCACAGGGAAGGCAAGTGCTCTACCACTGAGTTACATCCCTGGCCCCATTTCTATTCTTTTTTATATAGGCCATTCTCACCAGTGTGAGATGCTGTCATTTCTTTTTTAAATTTTTAGTGGTGGGGCCACACCTGATGATACTCAGTGGCAACGTCTGGCTCTGTGCTCAGGGATTATTGCTGGTGGTGCTTAGAGGCCCATATAGTATGGGGTGAAATCTGGGCTTTTAATGTAAAGCATGATCTCCAGTTCTTTGAACCAGCACAGGGCTAGACCCAGTAGTGTCCAGAGGTGATTCCTGGCTCTGTGCTATGGGTGGTGCTCAGTTGAACATATGCGCAGTGCCAGTGATTGAACCAAGGTTGGATGTCTACAAGGCAAGCGCCTTGATCCCTGTACTATCTCTACAATATTCCTTATTTTTGTTCTTAGACTCTTCCACGGATTGACATGGGCCTCTCCAGCAAAGCTGCATTTTCTGATCAATGGGGCTGATCAGAACACCCTCAAGAGGAGTGGCCCTCATCAGAGGCCTTGATGTCCTCATCTCAGGGGGTGCTGGGGAGCCTTCCTGAGCCTTAGATATATCCTGAGACTTTCTTGGCATTATTTCGGGGGGTGTTCAGGCATCGGGGTACGGACTTCCCGCCATCCTCTGACAAATATGAGGGGGCATCTCTTCTGCCCTGAAGTCCCTGTGTTTTACAGTCCGTGGTTGTGCCCCAGTGCCGGGGGACCGCAGAGGCACTTCAGATCACAGTGGGCCACATCCTGGGAGACGCTGGCAGCCCCTACCTCACAGGACTGGTGAGGCCCTGTGGGTGCCTGAGGGTACACTGTGTGGGGGAGGGAGGAATCCTTCCAGCTGAGGCCTGGAAGTGGCCTGGGGTCCCGCACATCTGCCTCTGTCCTCCGCAGATCTCCAGCGCCCTGCGGACCAGCCGGCCAGACACCTACCTACAGCGCTTCCTCAGCCTGCAGCAGAGTTTCCTGTGCTGCACCTTCATCATCACCTTGGGAGGAGGCTGCTTCCTGCTGACGGCCCTGCACCTGGAGAGGGACCAGGTCCAGGCCTGGCACCCTGACACAGGTATCCCCACCTTTGCTCAGGACCAAACCCCAGGGGAGCAAGGAGCATCATCCTCTCTTGAGCTTCTGGCCCCTTTGTTGGTTCTTTTACTCAAAAATAGCTATGTGCAGATCCTGGGGAGTGAATGCCAAGTTGAAGCTTCATGGAACCCATGCTCCAGAGGGAAGGACAGATGGGAAACAAATAGATCCAAAGAAAAGTTAGAATATGCTTGTGAGGTGGCAGGTGCTTGAGTTGCTATAAAGCAGGGAGCAGGTCAGATAGGGACAGATGGGGGCAGGGGGAAGTTTTTGCAAGGGTAGTGAGGGGGGTCTCACAGCTCAGAGACCCTGGAGAAGATCTGGAGGATGTGAGGGAGGGAACCAGGCAGCTCCTGGGAGAGTAAATGTCAGTTTGTGGTGGAGGTCGGGGAAGTTTCTGATGTGCCTGAGCAGCAAAAAGGAGACCAGAGGGGATAGAGTAGAGTGAGTGGGGTGAGGTAGGTGATGAGTGGGGCAGTAACAGAACTAGAGCAGGACGGTATTCTGAGGGCCTGGTAGGAATTGTGGCCTGAAGGGGAGGTGCTGAGAGGGTTCCAGCAGATGTACCTATAGGCCTCTGATCTGCACTCAAAAGCCACTTTGGTTGTGGTGCTGAGACTCTTACAGGGTCCATTGAACCCTCTGGGACAGAGCAATGGGGCTGGGACTGTGGTGACCACTTTGTGTTGTTGTTGTTATTCATTTTGATTTTTGACTTGGTTTGGTTTGGGGGCCACACCTAGTGATACTCAGGGGTTACTCCTGGCTCTGTGCTCAGGAATCACTCCTGGTGATTGGGAATGTGTTTGGGAATGAGGTTAAGGCACCAGAGTTGGAACACCTTGCCCAGAGTCCCACGGCTAATGATCCCTAGGGGATCATATGGGATGCTGGGGATTGAACCTAGGTCGGTCACGTGTAAGGCAAACGCCTTACATGCTGTACTATATTGCTCTGGCGCTGTGGTGTCCACTTTGAAGGTGGAGGAAAGGGATCGGAGCTGGAATCTATTTGAAAATGGAGTCTGGAGGATTTCCGGAAGCCTGGGCCCAGGCCTGCTCCCAAAGTGCTTGCTGGCTCCTCTGGGGCTGACTGAGCTTCCTTCCTCCCACAGGAACTCCAGCCGGCAAAAACTCAGAGCGCCAAGGTCTGCTTTCCAGCGAGGCTGCCTCTGCAACAGGCCCCTGAGCCCCACCCAACCAGCCTGCACCCCTCCCCGTGGTCTGTCAGTCCGTTCAGCAGGCTTCCTCTTGCTCATGCCTCTGCCTACCTGGCAGTGACTCGGGAGCCCCTGCAGAGCTGCACCTGCTACTCCTTCTCTCCTCCCATCGAGAGTCACCATGGTCTGACACCTGGGCTGAAAATTGAGCTGTCAGCATCCTCTGCGGGAGGCCTGGGCTGGACCTATGCAGCACCCCATACAGGACACCCCAATGTGGAGGCCCTGTCTGTTCACCCATTAAACACAGCTAGTACAAAGCATCGACTCCAGTTCTTAGACTATCTGGTGCACAGCCACAGGGCAGTGCAGTGAAGGATGTCGAAAGTGGGGAAACTGAGGGACTGCTCAGCGGGGGTCTCTGGGTGTCCCCCTGGCCCCGGGATCTTCCACACTGCTCCAGCTTTCCCTCTGGGTGGGATCAAGAGGGCACAGACATGCACGGACACACGTGGCACACGCTCGCCTCTGGCCCCAGGCGGGATCAGATGAGGAGTCTCAGGGATGGGCGTCCCCTCAGGTGCAATGTGGGGTGTCACTCTGGGTTTCCAGGCTGTCTCTGTGCTATGTGGGGGGTGCGGGCGTGGCTGCACGGAGGGCTCCTGGCCATGCGTGTTCCACACCCCAGTCCACACTTGGAGCATGGAACAGCCCATCAGGGGCTCTCTCTGCAGGACCACACTTGTCACTGGCATCAGAGCAGCTGGGCACAGCATGCCCTGTGGGAGCTGAACAGCTTCCAGGCGGGCAGCAGTGGGAGGCATGTTCTAGCACTGGCCCTGAGCAGGAGTGCCCCTCCCCCACCCTGGTGCCAGCCAGATCACTGTACCCGCGTGATTGCCACCTCTGCTGTGTCAGCCCGTGTTCTCCGGCAGTTGAGGGCCAGCTCTGACCCAGGCCCATGCAAACCTCCTCCCCCCTGCCTGCTTCCTCCTGTCATCTGCGGTGCCCTCCCTGTCCTCTGTGTTGGAGGAGCTGGAGCCCCGGAAGTGAGGGGTCAACCCCCAGTCTCTGTCCTCCCTCAGGAACAGCACTCTGAGGCTATCTGGCTCCCACCCACAAGCTGATGCGGGGTCTTAAGAAATGGGTCCCCCAAATTACATAGGTAATCATGCATGAAATACTGGGTTACTCCTGCAAAGGAAGTGGCTGGTCTATGTGGCGGGCCCAGTTCCATGATCCTACAGGTGGTCACTGGCCTTGTGGCCTGGGCCACTCCTGATTTTTCTGAGCCCAGACTCTGACCATATTCTCAAGGTGTACACAGAGCACGGGTGCCAGTCAGACCTCGAGTGATTCTCTTTGGCTGGGCCTGAGCCCACTGATGTTAGTCACAGGTCCTGACCCTTCCTCTCCACAGTTCCAGGGAAGATCTCGATAAAGCTCTGTGCCCAGGAAATAGTCAGAACTTCCCCAGAGGCAGCGTGGAAACCCTGCTACCTTTCCCACCCCCAGTCCCAAACTTGGGTGGAAGATTAGGAACTTTGTCAAGGCCAGTCCCACTTGTTCACTTCCCTGGACACCTGTCTCCATGGGGGGCAGTGAGCCCTGCTCCCACACCACATAGGACTTGGCAGGAACATACTTTGTGAGGTCAGTGAGGTGCCTCTTGGGACAGACGCTGGGGTTACCTTCCTCAACAGCCCCTGGAGAAGTGGGCTTGGCTGGTAAATGGCAGGTGAAGGTGTGGAGAAGGGAATCCCAGCGGCCAAGGAATGTGGGCCCAGCCTGAGATCCCCAGTGAGTCACAGAGGTGTGGGGTGGGGTGCAGGAGCAGGCATGTGGCTTTTGTTGGGGAGGGACCTCAGGGGCCCTGGGTGCTGGCTGGGGAGTGAGGGCTGGAACTGGTCATCGGCTCAAGCACATTCTGTTGTCTGGGTTGCTGGGCAGGCCTGGGTGGTACTTCCTGGGACTGAGGGAGACAAAAGGCTCAGCCAGATGCTCATGGGCTGCATCATCCAGGGGCTCCTGAGGCTGGGCAGGACCAGGGCTGGCGGAGTCTGGGAGGGAGAGATCAGAGTCTGTCCTGCAGCTGTCCCAGTTCCCCATATGGTGTCCCCTAGCCTCCTGGGGTCAGCGATCAGATGAGGGCTAGGGGCTAGGTCTGTGAGAGTTCCTCTTGGTCTAGAGGAGAGGAGGCAGTAGAACTTCCATTACCAGCCCGAGGGTACTTGTTGGGTAACCCCAGGTGCCAATTCTCTGCACTTGCTTCTGGAACATGTCGGTGGAGGAAGAGGCCCAGCAGGAAGAGGCCCCCAAATGCAGCTGGCAGAGTCTCCCCAAACAAATGCAGCATTTCAGTTCCCAGGGTCAGCCCACACCCCGCTGCACAGGCTTGTTTCTGCCTGGGTGAACGAGGCAGTGTCGGGTGTTGCTGAGGGCATACTAAAAGAGTTTCTTCCACTCTGACATTAAGCTTGGGGGCTGAGCGTGTGTGTTGAGATGAGCATCCCTCCCAACCCCAGCTGTTCCTCCGTCATGCCAAGCACCGATCAACTTCTGTCCCTGAAGTTCTGGTCTCTTCTTGTCTGGGTGGGCCTTGGGGTCCTTTTGCTTAAAGCAGCCCCTAAAGAAGGGAGCCTAAGGCTGCTAGGGCCGTGCTTTTATCCCAAATTCAGAGATTAGGGAGTAGGTGTTTCCTTATATGGCCTCATTTAGAGCTTTAGGAGTGCGTGCAACAGAAACTATCTTAAGCAAGAAAGGGATTAAAACAAAAAAAAAAAAATCTAGAACCAGAGAGATACTACAGCAGGTAAGGTGCATTCCGTGCACGTAGGTTCAATCCCTAGCACTACATTTGGACAGTTCCCTGAGACCTTCAGCACATGAGCACAGAGTCAGGAGTATCTCTGAGCACTCTTGGGGGTAACTCCAAAAGGGAAAAAAATCTATTAGGAGCTTACAGAATTGAGAGGGGAAATGGAAGATTCAGGAGTCAAGTTTCCTGGATCATTTCATTTGGAGGGTCTTTGCCACAGCTCCAGATGACTTTCCCCCCATTTGTTTGCCACCATACTCGAGACTTGAAAGTATAGAAAAGGGCTGAGAGACAGTACAGGGGTTAAAGCATTTGCCTTGCATACAGCTGACCCCAGTTCAGTCCCGGCACCACAAATGGGCCCCAAGCACAGAACCAGGAGTAAGTCCTGAGCACTACAGGGAATTGTCCAACGGTCCCTTTTCTTGGTTTGTGGGCCATACTGAGCAGTGCTCAGGGACTACTCATGCTCTGTGCTCACTTTTTGCAGTACTCAGGGGACCATATGTGATGCCAAGGATCAGGCACTTGCAAGGTGAGCACCTTAACCACTATCATATCTCTCCACCAGCCTTCAAAGCTGAAAAAAAAAAACCCTCGGGGCCAGGAAGTTGGACCAGTACCAGTTGCACTTCATGCCCATGCCTTGATTCATAGCTCCATGAAGATCAGGAAACAAGAACATTTTCTACAAGAATACTAAAACAAAAGAACAGTGAGGGAAAAAAAGGAACAAAACCAAGAACCAAGACTGTGTCCGTTACAATGACTCTGGTGGGCCACCAGCCCTCTCGAGGTAGTGTGTCTCCACAGGAAGGAATTCTTCATTTCTGCTAGTCTGCGTCCATGATCAAAGGAAACTGAAGCTGCTATAATTTAGGACGCTGGAACATGCTTGAGTGACAGAACAGGAACTTCTGTGTTTGTGGGAACCCAGAGCCATCTGCTCTGAGCAGGAGAGAGAGGCAGCGATGAAGCATTCTGAGCAGAATTCAGGAGGCGGGCCCAGCTGGGGGTTGGGGGGCCTCCCACGGGGCCCGCTCGGCTGAAGCAGCCATGGAGAAGAGGCATCTTTGCCTCACCTGTGGGAGGGAACCTGTGCGGAAGGTAATCAAAGGGTGGAGGCAAATGGCACGTGGAAGTTAATGGAGGGTGGAGCTAGAGCAGTGAGAAAATGCTTTTTTCCAGAGGGGCCAGGAGAGTAATCTGGCTGGTTTCTGAGTCACTGAGTGCCATAGACACACGATACAAATCAGCACACACTTCCTGAGCACCTGCTAAATGTCATTTACTCATTCAATCAACAAACATTCTCAAGCACCTACAGAACTGCAGAGATGAATCAGACAAGGTAGGGCCCCTGAGGCTCATTGTCCTCTGTGGGTGGGTGGTGGAGGTGGGGAGGAGGTGGGATCGTGTCCAAACATAATCAGCACGAGTTTGGTTTGATGGAAGGATGGACAGATTGCTCAAATAGCCCAGGGGAGGGCTCATGATTGCTCAAGTGGGTCAGGGGCCATTTTTGGGAAGAAGGCATGTTTGTGCTGGGTTGCTGAAAGACAACTGGAAGGAGCGAGCTAGGTGGACAGCAGAGGCAAAGCGTAACTAAAGGGCGAGGGGAGGAGGGGGTGCCCATGTGACGCTCTCCGTGGTCCTGAACCACGCGAACGAGTAGAACCAGGGGTTTTGCTTTGAGAAGATAGCAGGGACTATAGGCAAGTGACCACAGACCTCCCTTCCTTCTTCAGGTACCAAAAACTACAGTAACTATGAGAAAATTCAAGGAACTCCACCGTCACTGTGGTGCTGTGTAATTTGAGAGACGGATTCACTGCAGGATTTGAAGCTGAAGATTGGCATGAGTCATGAAGGGTTATAAAGGATCTTGGAGACCATGTTAAGGAACTTAAATACTAAATACCTATAGGTAATATTAAGGCATGGAATGATTTTGTGCAGGGTAATAGAAGAGGCCACATATATGATTTATGCAATTGCTGTCAAGCACCATAGTACTGTCCTCTCATTGTTCATCGATTTGTCAAGCGGGCACCAGTAACATCTCACAACAATTTGTGAGACTCGTTGTTACTGTTTTTGGCATATGTAATATGTCACGGTAGCTTGCCAGGCTTTGCCGTGAGGGCAAGATACTCTCCGTAGCTTGCCAGGCTCTCCGAGAGGGGCGGAGGAATCAAACCCAGGTCGGCCGTGTACAAGGCAAATGCCCTACTCGATGTGCTATCGCTCCAGCCCCTGTCAAGCATGAGGAAGGAATTATTTTTGAACAAGTGGTGCTGAGCTTTAATGGGATCCAAATGAGGGACGGGGGATTTGAGCTAGTCCATGAGCAATAGGGCCATTGGGAAATTTAGGGAGGAAAAGTGAACCCCTTAATGTGGGAGTTGAGGGAGGAGTACCAAATGGCTCCCAGGGTTCCTACTTGGAGAAAATGTGGATGATGATACCATTTGTCATGAGAAAAGTGATGTTTGGGTGGGAGCTGGTTAAGGGAGAGATGATGAGTTAAGTTTTGAATATTCTGAGTTAAAAGTGCTTTGATGCATGGGAGATTTCATGTGGACAATATGGCCTAGAGGTGAGACCTCACCCAAAGCTGGAGGTTGGGGTGTTATGAGTACATAAGTGATGGGCAGAAACCCAAGCATGGGTGAGGACACTGCCAAGGCAGAGGATACCTGGCAGGAAGGGGATACTGAGACCCAGGACCCAGAGATGCTCCAATGAAAGGCACAGGCTGAGGGTAGGAGGTCTGAACTCCAAGTTGCCAGATTTTGGGGCTGGTGTCTCTTAGTGCTTTGTAGCACTCTACAGCTCTCACAAGGTATTCTGTGGTCAGTATACCTGGGAACATGGCAGCCTAGAGTCCTGCCCACCCACCCCTGAGATTCAGTGTGCAGGCTCAGATTAAAGATTGGGAGAAGTCCTCAGTGAGGAAGCCTCCTTCTCTGTGTTTACCCCCACTATGGCTCTTGTGACACTGGACACCAATGCTATGTGACCCATTTGGTCTCAAGTTAATGTCTCAGTTGATGTATTGAGTTAATGTCAAAAGGCCCTGCCCTCACTGGGTTCAGCTTCTCATTAAGCCAATGAGGACACTGTCCTAAAGAGGCTTGTAGGGGCATTGTGGAGCAGTGGAGGAAGCTCTGGATTAGGGGAAGACACACCCAAGTTAGTGCAAGCCCATCATTTACTTGGTATGTGACCTTAAGCACATATCTCTCTTCCCGGGCCCTCAGTTTTTCATCACTGTCAGGAAGATTAAAAAAAAAAACTGTGTCTGGTGACTGATGGTCCCGCGTCCTGCCAGCAGCTCTCAGGAGGCCTCTGTGACTTGCCCAGGGTCACACAGCTTGAGGGAATTGCTTGTCCTTCACATTCCCCAGCCTTTGGGAACCTTTTAACCCACTCAAGGACATGCTCAGAGGAGGCCAACCAAACCCCACAGTGGAATCAGATAGCTGGATCAGTGGTAGCTCAGAGTTCCCCACATTTGAAAGTCCCCCTTCCCAGCTCTGGGCCCCTCTCAGTGATGGAACGAGATGTGGAGAGAGGATACTCCCCTTTGTGGTCAAAGACTAAAGCTGGGCCTGGACAGGGCTGTAACAAAAAGGATGAGGACTTTGGAGGAGTGAAAAGGGGTCTCTGAGGTTGTTTGGAGGCATGGTTTTCCCTTCTTCCCAACTGACCACAATCCCACAGCTTACCCTGGTCCCTAGCTGGTGCATCCTGCAGGCACGAAGTCAGTGTGGGGAGTCCATTCCCAGCCCTGGGGTGCTCAGGTCCGTCTGTGTCTATTAATCAGTTGTCATCTCAGCACCCATCTGTCTCTGCAATCCCAAGCTCAGCAAGCTGGAAAGAGACAGCAAGGCAACTTCCAGAATGAAATCTGTTTTCCTAACCCTCCTATCCCAGCCATTCATACCCAACATGCCAAAGTATATTTTTAGTCACTTCACAGAATTTAAAATACACCTCGAAGGCGCCAAGAAACACTAGCTTAGGGATGAACTCAGCTCACAGGAGACAGTGGGGTGGGTGGTGGGGGTGTGCCTGGTGCTGTGCAAGCCATTGGCTCTGCCATGACTCACTGGCACCTTCATCACGTACACCTGACTGTGGACATGGTGCCTGGAGCAGCCTACACAGGGAGCTGAGTGCCCGCACAGCAGGAGAGAGCCAGAGCCTGGGTCAGCACCAGCCCTGCTGCCAACTAGCTACACGCTTTGATGGGGTCATCTCTGGGTCCTTCAATCTGCTTGGAAACACAGGGGAAAATTCTGCTTTCCAGGGCTCTGTCTGATTCTGACATTCTGTCTCCAGCAAGTGCAATCAAAGCCTCAGACAGATGAAGAGGGTTGTGTGTGTGTATGTGTGTGTATGTATGTGTGCATATATGTGTAGATGTGTCTCATATGTGTGGGAAGGGTTGTGTGTATGTGTGTGCATGTAGATGTGTGAGGGTATCACAGAATCACAGTACCTTCGAGGTGGAGGAGATCCGATCCATCCACAAGAGACAGGAGACAGGATTCTCCACCACTCCCCCCACCCCACCCCCTCTGTGGTAACTGCCACTCAAGTTCCATGTGGTCTGACTCATGCACGCTGATGGACCAAGGCATAGAGAAGCAGAGACCCAGAGACGGTGGCCTGGCCAAGGGTCGTGTCACACTGCAGGCAGACCTATGTGTGTCGCCTAACATTCAGGTCTTGGTCCCTCATTACAGACAGATGCAAGAGGCTCTCAGCAGAGGCGGCCTTTCTGGTGGCCCCCAACCAGAGGGGTACCCTACCAGAGTAGCCTCTCCCTGGAGCTGGGGTGGGGGTCTCTGTGCAACAGGCAGGAATCAGCCCTGGGAGACATTAGCGGCGGATCCGGGTTTCCGTGGGGTCGTGGGCGAGCTTGGAGGCGGCCTGGGTCCTGGGTTCCAGTGCTTGCAAAGCGCTGGCTGAACTGACTGAATCGGAGTGCCGAGTAACTGCGAGCCGCCGAGGTTCTCTCCTGCTGCCTTTGATTTCTCCAGGTGAGACCCTCTCCAGGTGTCCAAGCGCCCTGGGTGGCAGCGCCAAGTGCACTCCCAGCTCCGTTAGGACCACACTCCTTCGGGTGGAAGGGAGTGCGGAGGGAGCACACCGACCTGACGAGGAGGAGCACTGCTTCAGGCACCCTCGTCTCGGCTCGGAGCCTTCGTGGACTCCCACCCCCTCGGGCTTCTCCCAGGCGTCCCGCGGCCCGCGACTCCGGCGTGACTGCGCCCGCCCGCGGCAGCGCCCCTCGGGGCAGCACGTGCGGGGCGGGGCCGGGTCCACATCGCGGAGCTGATTGGACGCGCGCCTGGTGGGCGGGGCCGGGCCGCAGCTGTCAGAGCCGGGCCGCGCGACCGCGGCGCAGAGGGCTGAGCGGTGGCCGCGCCGCAGCGGAGTCCGAAGTGCAGCGACAGCCGGTCGGCCGGGCCGGGATGGTGCAGCGGCGGCTCCGCGGCGCGCGCGCGCACTGAGTGGGCCCAGGCTGGGCCCGGCGCCCCCCGCGCCCCCCGCCGCCCCGATCCCGGCCGGCATGATGTGCCTGGAATGCGCCTCGGCGGCGGCGGGCGGCGCGGAGGAGGAGGAGGCGGACGCGGAGCGGCGGCGCCGGCGCCGGGGGGCGCAGCTCGGGACCGGCGGTGGCGGCTGCTGCGGGGCTCGGGGTGCGGGCGCCTCTGGAGCCTCGGCCGTGGACGCTGAGGTGCAGACGCTGTCGGGCAGCGTGAGGCGGGCCCCGTCCGCACCCGCCAGCGCCCCCAGCACTCCCGGCTGCGCAGCTACTGCCAAAGGCCCCGGCGCGCAGCAGCCCAAACCCGCCAGCTTGGGCGGCGGGCGAGGGGCGGCCGCCGCCATCCTCAGCCTGGGCAACGTGCTCAATTACCTGGACAGGTACACCGTAGCAGGTGAGCGAGCGCCCCGCCCCGCCCCAGATCCAGCACCCCTCCCGCCCCGGACCCCCGAGGTGACCCGGGAAGCCTTTGGTCCCGGCTTCTGTGCATTCCAGCCTGCCATGGGGTCCTTCGGGCCCTCTGCTCCGGCGGGTGATGTGCCCCTGCGCTCTGGGCTCAGTGCGGGCGCTCTGCCCTTCCGGGCTTGGGTTTGGGGTGTCCCCACCCCGGAGTCGTCGGCTTGGCCTCGCCAGCCCTCGCCGGCCGCTGTCCCTCGTCCGCTCTTCCGAGTCTCCTTCGCGTGTCCCCGCGTTCTCGCCTCCGCGCCCCTCCGGCCAGCCCCGGGCTCCCGGGCCTCCGCCTCCCTCCCCCCAGCCGCGCTCTGTCCGTCGGTCGGCGGCCCGCCAGTCCTTCCTTCACCCGCCTCCGCTCGGCTGCGTGCGTGCGGCGAGTGCGCGCGCCCCTTGCGGGTGTGCGCCGGGGAGCCGGTGTGTGCGCGCGAGCGGTGCGCGGCGGGGCCGTGCGGGCGTGCGAGCGCGTGGCTGACAAAGGCTCGGGCTGCGGGGAGCGGAGGGAGGGGCGGGGCGGGTCCGCCGCGCAGGGGGACCCAGGACGCGGCTTGCAGCTGGCCCTGGCGAGAGGCCTGAAGACGCCTCCCCCTGCTCTGTGACTCTGAGGGCTCGGCCGGGGCGCAGGCCACGGTCTCTGCGGGCTCCTCTGGGAGCCAGCCTCGGGGATGGGACATGGGAAAGACGGAAGAAACCGCTGCTAGTCCCAGATTGGATCCTCTTATGCAGGTGTGTGACCTTGGACGGGTCTCACCTCCTGGCTCCTTCTCTTTACCCGTTTGTGATGTGGTCGACCCCAGCCTTTGGGGAGGAAGGGGGGCTCTGGCTTGCCATGGGGACTTTCCCTAGATGCAGCAGCTTTGGGTGGAAACGGCAGCCTTGGGAAGTGTACTGTGGCCAGGCCAGCATAGGTAGAGGCTCCCTCCTGAAGGAGAGTCCTGGCCTGCTGGCTCAGAACTGTGCAACCGTAGTGTAGGAAAATCTGTACCTACATGATATAGACAGACAGATAACGGGTGTAACTGGGGGCAGATTCTCAAGACCTCTTCATGTTGCTGGGGAGAGGAGCCGACTGGCACAAACCGCCTGGCTCCCCTTCTGCAAACCTCAGTCTCCTTTGTTGAAAGGAGTTTTATGTCCAGTGAAAGGGAGGCAGTCCCAGGGAGACCCCTGCATCTGCTTGCAAGGCCCCTGGGCATTTATTCACTCCCTCCAGGTGTGGAGTTGGACCGGGGACCAGTGACACCAGTTATTGGGTTGAACTGTCCCTAGAAGACTTTGGGGGCGGGAGCACGCCCTGCAGTGCTCAGGGCTTACTCCTGGCTCTGTGCTCAGGGATCACTCCTTGTGGGACTCAGGGGGCCATATGGGGTGCTGAGGATCAAACCTGGGTCAGCTACATTCAAGGCAAGCACCTTATCCGTGCTGCTATCTTTTCTGAACCCACCCCCCCTCCTGCCCAGCCCCCAGGAGACTCTAAATTCGGTCCCATGAATAGGAATTCTGTGCCCTGCACAAGTTACCAACCCCTGCCATGATGTGGGGACCAGGAAGCAGAGGTGGGGAGAAACCAACAAACATCGGGCACAGGTAGTCAGTGCAAAATACACTCTATGTCCATACTGGAAAACCGAAGGCTCCACACTCCTGTCTTCCAGACAGCTGAGCGAGTGCGCTCAAAGCTGGACTTAGCTCTCCCCAGCGGCTTCCCACCCTCTCCACAGGGCCATGAATGTCGCTGCTGCTTCTGGAACTGTAGCACTTTCCAGCTTGTTTTTGTCGGGCCCCAGATCATCCCCTCGGATTTCTGAGGAGAAACTGACTGCCAACGGCTGAGGGTGGCATCAGAGAGGTCTGGCATGTATCTGCCCCCAGCCCAATTGGGGGTCCCAGCGTCAGAATGTCAGCATGAAGAAGCAGCAGTGGGACATTTCTGATCTTTGCTAGGGGGAGATGGAGGCAGTGGCTCAGTGGGGTGTGGGGCAGCAGGGAGGAAGGCCCGGAAAGCCCTGTGCAAACACAGCCTGGGCCGTGCATCCCTCCCAGCTTGGCCCCCGCAGGGAGTTCAGACCCCGCCCCGCCCCCTGCACGCAACCTACACACACATTTCCTCTTCTGGCCTCTGGTGTAGATTCCTCCCCCCTCCCCCAAGGTCAGTTTTTAGGAAAATTTTCTGTCACTATGGCAAGTACTATGCAGCACGGTGTCATAGGGGAGGGGGCAGGAGGAGGATCACCGGGCTTGAGTCCACCTGTTGTTGGCTGATCCTGCTCCTGGGACACAGAAGGGACTGTGGACATTGCCCTTTAATCCCCATACTCACACCTACTGGCCCCAGAAATGCTCACGATCTGACTCTGCCTAACCCATTAAAAAGAGAAGTCAGGGGGCTGGAGCGATAGCACAGTGGACAGGACGTTTGCTTTGCACGCAGTCGACCTGGGTCCGATTCCCAGCATCCCATATGGTCCCCCAAGCACCTCCAGGAGTAATTCCTGAATGCATGAGCCAGGAGTAACCCCTATGCGTTGCTGGGTATGACCCAAAAAGCAAAAAAAGGGGAAAAAAGGGGAGTCCAGGGCCAAAGAGATGGTACAGTTGGTAAGGTATTGGCCTTGCATATGGCTGACCTGGCTTCTATTCCTGGCAACCCATATACCCCACCATACCATCCAGCCCCGCCAGGAGTGATCCCTCATGTGGTCCAGAAACCAATCAGAACAAACAACAGAAAATAGGGATCATTCCCACTTATCTTCCTTTGAGTCATTCCTGCCTTTCTGTATTCATGGTACAGACCAAGCCACATTTTTTAATGTATAATGTTCTAGTAGGCAAGTTAAAAAAAAAAGTAAAAGAAGTAGGTGAAATGAATCAACAATATTCTATGTGACTCACTATAGTTAACATGTTTCTTTTTATTTATTCATTTAGAGAGGGGAGGGCTCGGGAGCTCCAAGGTTCCCTCCTGGCAGTACTTCGTTAGTCTGTTTGGGATTGAGGATTCAGTGCTCTGTTTGGCACTTGGCCCCTGCTCCAGTCCAGGGGTGTAGGGGCCCACTCGGGCTCTACCAGTGATGCTTGGGGTGGGGGAGCATGTGGTGCTGGGGATCAGATTTGGGCCCTCCACATGTGAAGCCTGTGCTCCAGCCCCTTGAACTACCTCTGTGGCCTGCCAACATATTTCAACACGTGATCAGTATTAAAATCTATCAAGGGAACATTTTGCCTTGTTTTCATAGGAAGCCTGACTCCTGTGTGCATTTTCCAGTGACAGCACATGTCCGTTGGCAGTAGCTGCCTTTCAGGTTCTCACCAGCCCTAGCGGCTGGGGGCCACTACAGTGGACAGTGCAGATGTCGCCTCTTTGATCCCGACTCTTCAGCTCCCAGCTGTGTGGCCCTGTGCCTTTCTCCTTTCCAGTCCCCTGGGTTGTGCGAGTGAATGAGACGTCTCGTAGCCGCTGGGGCCAGGTCAGCCTCCTGGGAGCACAGCACAGTTGTCAGTGGCCTTCTGGCCTCTGTTCCAGCTGGGCCCTGCACGCAGCCCTTCCAGGTCCCTTTGAGACAGACCCTTTGCGAACGCCTCTTTTCTCCACCAGCCCAGGTCTCTGTCCTGGGAACTCAGTAGGTTCCCCTCTGCCCAGTGTTCCCAGCGCCACCCTTCGATCTAGCTAATTAGGGTTCTCCTCCTCCCCATGAGAACCCCCGAGGGCAGCAGGCCTCAGAAGCAGGGGAGCCAGGCTCTGGCGCTTGCTTTTTCTATCTGGGCGTTGCTGCATTTGAATGGAACTGAGGTAGAGCAGAACCTGCCTCTAAATACTTCACTCCGCCTTCTTGTGGTTGCCCGCTTAGATGCCCGGAGAATGTAGGCCTGACACAGGGTCACAGAGCAGGGCAGGGCAGAGCAGGGCAAGGCCCCCAGGACAGTGCTCTCATGGCCCTCTTCTGGCCTGGAATCTTGGAGACCCATGGAAGGGCAAGTCCTTGGGCTGATGCGTCCACAGAATCGGTTTGAGCTCTCCTAGGGGTGTGGGTGCTGATCCCAAGGTCCTTACCAGGCTGGCAGCCAAGTCAGGAGGAGGGAGGCCCTCAGGCTAGGGGCCTGGGTGTTCTCCCCCCCACCCCCTTCCTGGTATCAGAGTTGCCGCTGCCCCTGGGCTCTCATTCTTCCATCTGTGAACAGAAGCAGAGCCCAGGGTGTAGGAGGGAGCATTTTGCTTCTGGAACAAGGCCCAGCAAGCGGGAGCTGTCCTCGCCCTCTTCACAGTTGGTGAGTGACTATTTGAGAACTGAGATCCTTCTCCAACTTCTCTGGGGCACCTTCCCTTCCTGACATATTTTTTTTTCCTTTTAGGACCCAGCCCATGGCAGATGGGGTACTAGAAATTGGGTGGAGTTGGGGGGCAGGTGAGAGGCAGAGCCTGCCCTGGGGAGTCATTTTCTGTCAAAGAAGCTGTGACTGGTCTCCATGGCAACTGCTCACTAACACAAATCCAGGAGAGATGGCACACAGGGACGAAGCCAGGGAAACACAGGCTGGCAGGGATGGGGTGGGGGTGGGGGAGTCCCCAAACACCTGAGCTGCCTGCAGGAGAGGACTGCCTGGTCCAGTCTGCCCAGAGCTGACAGATGAAGCAACAGAGGCCCAGGGCCTTTTGCAGGGCGGCACTGGCAGGTAGAGGCCAAGTCAAGCCTTGCACGCCGTAGCTGTCTCTGATGGGGCCCCTGTCCCTTTAGGTGGCCCTGCATGGGCACCACCATGTCAGTACCCGCTGTGGTCTGCAGGGTGGGGTGTACCAGTCCTGCATTCTAGAATGCTTGTCTGGCAGGACAGCACCCAGCCGTGCCGCGGGGCAGTGGGATGCCTGGGGCCTAGTGACTAACCCCAGCGGCTGTTTCAGGGCCTCATCCTCCTCAGCCCCATCCAGCCTCTCTGCCAGCACCT